GGAAAAGTGCGGCGGCGGTCTGGTGATACGGCGGCGAAAGCAGTGACGCGGGTGGAGGACTGCAATGGCGGCGTGGATGGAGGTGGTAGGAAGCTACGGCGGCGATCTGGTCTTCTATTAGGAGATATTAAAACATCGTCAAGACTCAAACCGGCGACCATGAATATCAAAGTGGATCGACAAGGCTTAGAGGAAGTTATCATCATCATCAAGTTTAGTTTACTGTCAATGTTTAGACTTTAGTATGAGTTGTAATGTTTGTTTTAAGTTTATTGTTCTCCAAAAGCAAGCTGGTACGATTTGTCTTATAGTGCCAAGCTAGAGTATTTAAACCCAATTATAAATGAGAAACACCCAAAGGTTCTAGGGTTTCATTTTTCATAACTCAACTTTGTTATTATGATATCAGAGCCTCTAGATCCTAGAGAACTCTAAAACCTTCTACCCACAAAAATAAAGACTATGTCCAGATCTGAAATTTTCAAATCATAAACCCTAAAAAAAAACTTCATCATTGCATTTCTTCCCCAAATCCCAGCACTAGTTGTGTTGTTCACCATCTCTTCGCCACTTTTGTGTATTTTCACCATCGGTGCTTACCCACCATCCCTCCTCGGCCAAATTGCCCAAACTTCCTCCCAATTCCTCAATCCTCAGAACAAAATAATCGCAACCAACCTCATCTTCCCCAAAAATCCCCCCAATCCCCATTTCACATCTTCCAGTTCGAAACCCATTCATCCCAAATACCTTCCGCCGCAAAATCATCGCCTTTTCTTTCCCTTTTCAACCCAAGAATACAGATCTAGTTTTCTACGGTTGCTTCTGAGTCGCAGTCGTATCTCTTGTCGCCTTTGAGCAATCGGCAGATCTAGTAGCACAAGTCCTGGCGCTCGTACTCAGCCCAGTCATACCTTCTCCCGGCGGCCACGTAAGCTCTCTCGCAGCGAGCTTTAGCCGCTAGATATGAAATCGTCATCAACAAGCTTGGGTCACAAATGAGCAGCTCCATCGAACATCTCCGCCACCTGCGAGGAAACCTGTCACCGCCAAAGCATAGATCAAACCCATCCTCTTCGACAGTAGGAGAGACAATGACATCTTCCCCGGTCTCCAGGAAACAAACGAAGAGATCCAATCCCTCCACAAACCGGAGAAATTCAAAAAACCAGCTTGTGGATGTGGGTCTTACCAACGGTACAAACAGGGCCAACTCTGGTTTCCCAGAGGAAAATCCAATTTACAGAACAATGGTCATTGTCACAAATGGCCTGCCGAAGATGCTAAAAGGGTTGATCTTGAATTCCGAGAGTTTGAGGTAGAGGATGATGGCAGAGCACAAGGTAATCGTTGGAAGAAGGCATTTCATACCCACTGGAGAAAATCCAGCTGAGGAAGGTAAATATCTCTGACCATGATGCTGAAATTACCGTAGTGAATGGGAAGAAGAAAGCTGTCGAGAATGGAGTTGTTGGTCCAGCACTAGTTAGAGATTTGCTTGTGTGAAATCTTCCATTACTGAGTGTGGAATGAAAGCTTTGATTGAAAAGAAGACATTCAAACAGAGAAGAATGACCAGGTTGTCAAGATTAATTCCATCAAAAGGTTGAATGTTTGTTTGCCGAGTTTCATGATTGTGTGGGAAGGAGAAGCCAGTTGCTAGCTCCTGCACTACAGGAGTTTCAATTTTCTTGTTTTGAGTTCAGAGAAAATCAAGAATAAAGAAGAAAGAGAAGCTGCAAGTTCAGAGGCAACACATTCAAAAAAAAAATAGCAATAAGAAGAGAAGAAGTGTTTTAAAGAAGAAGATGTTCCTGTTCCAGCAACCGAAAAAAAAGGCAGCAGCCTGTGATAATGCTGCAAAGGGAAGAAGCTTACTCCCCTGTTGAGTTTGAAGTCAAATATTTTTGGAATGCTTACTAGCTAAAGAAGCAGCTGCATATCCTCATAAAGTTGAAGGAGTAGAGGGAAGTAGCCAACAATGCACTCCCCTACTGATTTCAGTATGTTTGTTGGTAGGAGTGTTAGCTAGCAAAATGTAGCAACATATCCCAATCAAGTTTCAATCCATCAAGCAGAAAAGCTGAAGATGTGAAAGTTCAGCCTGTTAGCCAAGATGCAGCGACATTTTTCAATTCTAGGAGTGCTAGTCAGCCAAGAAAAAGCAGCAGCATATCCGAGTTTTTTGGAGAAACTGAAACTACAAAGCTGAAGTTGGGGGTTGAGAAGTTCAAGAAGAAGAACGGAAAGTTAGCTAGCCAACGATGCAACGGCTTATCCGAGTTAATTGGAGAAACTCAAGCTGCAAAGCTGAGTTGGGGCTTGAAGAAGAAGAAGATGGGATGCCAACTAGCCAAAGATGCAGTGATATCACCGGTTGAAGAAGAAGAAGATTTCATAGCTAGCTATAGCCACAGATGCAGTAGCTTTCCAGAAGATGTTTGGGAAGTTAGCTAGTAAGATGCAACAGATTCACCATTTCAAGATTGAAGAGAAGTTAGCTAGCCAACAGTGCAACAACATTTTCAAGTCAAGACTGTATACTCTCTCCAAGTTTGGTGTGCATATTTTGTGCTCACCCGCTTGCCCGGGGGGGGGGGGGGGGGGGGAAGACAGGAGATATTCTTGTAGTACCAAGCTTGAGTATTTAACCCAACTATGAATGAGAAACACCCAAGGGTTCTAGGGTTCCATTTTCCACAACTCAACTTTGTTGTTATCTTCGGTGGTAGCGCGAATCTGTGAATGCGGATTGACGCAGCGGCAGAGCTCGGTAAGTGGGCCTTTCTTTGTTTTATTAATTTTTGCTACAGATTGCCAGAATGATGTTTACGGTGACATGTATATCTAGTTTTTTGGAATGATTTTTGCAAGGTGTTTGGATTTTTGGTGGGTTTTCATTATAGATGAAAAGATACGATTGCTGGTTGGGAATGAATTTCTGGGCTTCGTTTGTCTTTTTGTGTTGGCTAAAAGAGAGTGATTTTTTTGTGTGTGTTGGCTGGAGCCTTAAAATGGCAGGGTTTGGTTTTCTGAATTGGAATTGCACCTGTCGATCTCCCCTCATTTTTCTAATCTGGCGATCCCTTTCTCCTCTTATAGCACCTCAAAACACAGTATCACACTCCTCCTCTTCAATGGCAACCTAACTTCCTATCCCTCTAATAAATTCTCAGAGGCCATATCCACTTTCTCTTCCCTTCATCTTTAAGTTTCTGCCTCATACAACTCACAAATGAATGAATCATGAAGGATAACCTTCTGCTCTGTTTTGCAGGTGACAAAGGAGCATCGAATGGATGATGGTGGTAAGGAGGAGAAACATACTGGTCGGTGAACCAAACTGGTCCGATCGATCGGGTGGGAGTGTGAGAAAATGGCTTGTTGTTGGGCTTAAAGAGATGGACTCCTATTTTCTTTTTTGTAGCTAGTTTTTTTTATAACACACTGGGCTGAAGCCCAAAAGGGTAATGAAAATTGACTATAATGGGCTGATGAATTTTCTTCGAATTTGTGGCCTCAAATCCAAAATGTACGCATATCTAAAACGACCACAAATAAAAAAAAAATCAAATCAAGAAGAATGTACGAGTACATCTCATATTTTTCTTCATTGAAAAATTCATTCCGAACGAAATTATTTACTTTGAGAAAATCCGGAAAAAAATGGGTGCCAACATCGGGCTTAGATAATGTCCCGCTGAGCAGTCTATTCAAGAGTTCTTGTTTGCTTTAATTGAGTATCAAGGCTAGTCAAGGATTCTCCTCGGTATAAACGTCGAGTGAAACAGATTGTGGAATCAACTACCATTAATCTGGTTATAAACAAGGGGAAATCGATAACTAAGTGACATTTCCTTATATCTGAAACTCGAATCAATTTCTCTTTGCTTTTTTATTTAAATTGCTATCGCTCGAACTTGATTGCTAGATAACATATTAATACTGAGTAGTAATACATTTAGAGACGCTGAGTTGATAATAAAATTAACTTCCACTATTTTGCATTCATGTTATTTGCTACACTTAGCCATTGATTTGGATTATAGTTTTATTGAGTCAACAGGAAAGACAATATAAACCTATGTTGAAAGGTGAAATTGGCATGACATGCACCATATACCATGAGAAAGGACACATTAGTCAATTTTACAGCAAGGTCAGAATCTATCTATGATTTTCTTGTCCTAAAAAATTTATTCCATTGTTTCCACATCCCCCCCCCCCCCCCAATCATAGGTAACGAGGGATCATCTCTAGTAATTGTATCTCCTCAACATGTTCAACCTTTATGCCTACTCCGACATTTCCACCATTTTCTCGGACAATGGGGTCGAATCATCCCCACCCATAAAAGAACCAATGTCACATTTCGAAGGGGTAGGGGTAGGCCTAGCCAGTAGATCAAGTACTGATAGGATAGACTTATCTTTTTTTTTTTGTGGTGTTCTGGTTGCCAATATGACAACTTTCGCAAACTCTACAATTTTGAACACATCGATTGCTTAATGGAACTTTCATGATGAACCGATCCATGTTAAGTAGGATGTAATTATTTTGGTCATTCTGATCTTATATTTGAATGTTCTAAGATGGAGTTGCTGATTTGATGTTCGTTTATTGGTAATTGATTAAAATGGTTATATAGATTTGGGCTAGTAACAAAATCGACATAAAACATAAACTATAGGTTTTTATTGGTATTAGTCTTAAAAATTTCTGTTCATTGGGTGTAAAACAATAAAAATTGTCCTAAAAATAGCCAAAACTATATGAAATACCGTAAAATAGTCAAAACTTTAATTATATTGGACAATTATAGCCTAGTTCATATATTTCATTTTTTCAATTCGAAACTCGAAATCTCGATTCGGTTGAAAGAACTCTGATTTTCGAATGAAAACTATTTCTTTTCTAAATTCTGAAGCGAATAACAGTATTTTGGTTTCAATTCGGTTCAAATTCGTTTTGATCTGGATCGATTTACGGAACCGGATGCCCACCCATGTTTCGAATCCCCTCCCACCCATAATTTCGTCTCCTTTGTCTTAGGTTCTTAGCCAAAGAGGAGAGGGAGAGAAAAGTCCACAAGGTAGAAAAACAGACAGAAAATGGAGAAGGCGAAGCAGTTCCTGGAGTCGAGCGAAGATGAAGCGAACAGGGTATCGCAACTCGTGATTCATCCTCACCGAGTCGGCCATGAGTGCAGCTTCTACGAAGACTTCGCTTTACGAGGCATCCGAGTCGACCGGGTCGACCCCGGCCTCGTTTCTTGTACCTTCACCGTGCCTCCACGCCTCACCGTAAGCCACCGTTTCTTCCTTTCACATAGTTAATAGCTCCTTCCAGTTACCGATAGCGCTTCGAACTAGGGCGTGCGTGTGCCTGTCATGTCATATCTAGCAATTTTGATTCTTTTCTCTTTTTCCCCAAAACGAGGGAGATTTTGATTCACTCGAGAATTGGGAACGGTGGCAGGACAAGAGCGGGAAGCTAGCCACCGGAGCGATTGCCAACCTGGTCGATGAGGTGGGAGGCGCGGTGGTTCACGTGGAAGGTTTTCCCATGAATGTCTCTGTCGATATGTCCATCTCCTTTCTCTCTACCGCTAAGCTCCATGTGCGTGAGGATCATAGTTTCTCGTTCTTGATATGTAATGTAGGTTTGGAGTTGATGATGGTTCTTGCTTCCTCGCGGATGTTCAATTTTGCAGGATGAGTTGGAGATTATCTCCAAAGTGTTGGGGCGGAAAGGCGGCTACGCTGGAACGGTTGTGCTGGTGAAGAACAAGCTGACTGGGGAGTTGATAGCCGAGGGCCGCCATTCCTTGTTCGGCAAACTTCCCAGCAAGATGTGATCTATTGACATTTCAATTCAATCTCCGAGTCCGGGATAATAAAACGCTTATGCTCTTTGATCGTCTTTTCGTGCTTGGAACACAGGTAGGCTCTCTCTCGGATGCTGAAACATGACTTTGCAGTTTGCTGGATAGGAGTCTTGGCATTGCATGATGTGCTACCAGTAGAAAGCATAACTTTCCCCCCGTTGTGGTAGGATCTCTTGCTGTTAGCCTAAATCACAATTGAAGATAGATGCCTGGAGAAAGGATGACTCGTCTGCTAACACCTTTTGGTTGTTCGTTGGCCAATCTAGTGAATGTAGTGTAACTGCAAGTACTTTCGATGTTCATGACTTCATGTATAGACATAGCTTTCGAGTTGCAGTTCAATTCACCATTGGCCAATTGCTTTAGAGACCAGTAGCGATAGCGTTTGTATTGACTTGACTGCTAACCTGGTTTGATGGTATCGTCATCTTTCCATATATAGTCAGTCATTAAGCGTGGATCCGAAACCTGCCTTTGTGCAGACTAGTTCCGCCTGTGTTTAGCTGGCGAACATACATCAGGATGGAATTTGTACTCAGTGGTATAGAATGCTAGCGGGAACTGAATCAGGCATCCACTTTCTTGTTAAGAAGCATATTTGAGTTATGACTTTTCTGCAACTACCTGGTTCTTGATACGATGAGATTGATTTCAGCAATAATGGAGACTGTTTGCTTTCCCTGGATTGAATTTCCGCAGCTCTTTGTTTATGAGAACAGTACAAAGCCACCAAAAATACTTTTGTTCAAAACATGGGTTGTAAACTTGTAATGGTACTGATTAGTAAAATGACTCAAATCCCTTCTGCTGCTGCTGCAACTGACTAGTGACTAGAACAGGTACTTTTGTTTAAGGGCCTTAGTGATGTAAAGAAAGCCCCCATATGCGCGTACAGTGTTAAATTGTAAGGGGTCAGTAAAAGTAAAAGTAAAAGAGTCGGCACAAAGGGGATTGCTATTAGTTTGCTATTTGTTGTCTTAATTCCAGTAGCTAAATGGCTTGTTATGATTAGTATGTCAAATTATCCAACTAATTAACCCACTGTTGTTCCCAGTCCCATCTCAACTAAGTTCCTTTGAAATTGAATCACCTTACAAGTTATGATTCGCAATATGCATCAAATTTTGGGAAAATATGTAAATCTGGTCGGGTTCTTTCTTCACAAAAGCACAATTAAACACATATTTTAAATCATCAACTTAGTATATAGTCGTATGATATGTGAATGCCCAATCCTTCACCCATGTATGGTTTATCTTGACATCAATGAATGAGATTAATTCAATGAGTTATCATGTTGTTTCGAGTTTTCGTTTTTGTACATGTGTTATTTACTTTTATTTTTAGCAAATCTCCATTTTCAAGCGGTTAGTTGATATTTTTCCTTTTAACTAGAGAAGAATGTCTACCATTAAAAAAAAAAAATTAGTCCAAATCCATCATTAACATTTAACACCATCCTATCATGTTTCGCAAATGTTTCGGAGGTGAACTATTTTTTCAATACGAAATCATTGTTTTGTTTGTTTGCAATACTTATGTGCCCATTTTGTGATATGTTAAAATTTTGTGGCCGTATTTTGCTACCGAACATAACTTTCATGACCATTTTGAGCAATTATCAAAATATATGATGGTGTGAAAGGAAAGGAGGACGGGTATCCCAGTCATTTGACAACTTCCCGGCGTCATAAATACGCCGCCTGCTGCTGGCGGCTGCCGTCCTTCTGCTTCCCCGTCTTCTCGCCAGCTGCCCGCTCCGACATAAACGATGCATTCTTCCTCGTTCTCAATCCGCCCACCTCCAGAACCTTCCCTTCTCGCATCCTCGCAACCCCGCAAAATCCTCAACCCTGACCGTCTCGTTTCTTCTACCTTTGCGCATTCCTCGTGGTCAAGAACAGTATGCGTCTCTTCGTCGCCGAGTGGGATTCCGCAATTTCAGCTGCGAGGAAGACGCACTGTGAAGTTTCACCCGGTCTCATCGGCTTCGCGGCTTAGGGCTTCTCCAGATGGTGCTGAGTTCGGTTCTCCGCCGGAGGGCAGCGAGCTGCTGGCGCCGAGTTTCAGGGAATTCATCACGTCGGAGAGAGTGAAAGTGGTAGCAATGCTTGCTCTGGCGCTGGCGCTCTGTAATGCCGATCGCGTGGTGATGTCAGTGGCAATTGTGCCGCTTTCAAGGTCTAACGGGTGGAGCCGGTCCTTTTCTGGTATCGTTCAGGTGATCCTTAATCTGTTTTCGTCGATGAAATTAACCGGGTAGAAGTTTGCGCGATTACTATTTTCTGCCCCTCAAGTTCATTTTTATACTGGCGTATATTTCATTGGTGGGATTAAACCTTCTGTATGATTTCTTACCCTTGTTGTGGCAGTCGTCTTTCCTGTGGGGATACCTAATTTCACCGATACCTGGAGGGACCTTAGTGGATTACTATGGCGGAAAGGTAGTTATGGGGTGGGGTGTAGCTTTGTGGTCGTTGGCTACATTTCTCACTCCATGGGCTGCAGAAACTTCTTTATGGGCCCTGCTAGCTATGCGTGCTGTGCTTGGCATTGCAGAAGGTGTAGCCCTTCCTTGCATGAATAACATGGTAGCGAGGTATACATAATTTCTGATGCTATACCTCTCTACAGCCAGCAACTTCTCCCTTGTACTTCAGCATGGTGAAGCTAAATTTTTGAAGATACGACTTTTTTCTTTTCTGCTAGATGGTTCCCGCAGACAGAACGATCCAGGGCTGTTGGAATTGCTATGGCTGGATTCCAGCTTGGCTGTGCCATTGGGCTCACACTATCCCCAATTCTCATGTCCAAGGGGGGTACATTTGGGCCATTTGTGATATTTGGACTATCTGGATTTCTCTGGGTGCTGGTTTGGTTGGCTGCAATATCAAGTTCACCAGACAGAAGTTCCCAGATTTCAACTCTTGAATTGGAGTACATTCAGCAAAGCAAGATGCAGAAAACCACTCCTGTTAAAGAGAGACCCAAGACTGGCTGGAGGCTACCTCCATTTGGGCGGTTGCTGTCAAAAATGCCAACTTGGTCATTAATTGTGGCTAATGCCATGCACAGCTGGGTACTATTGACCATCCCAATTAGTACAGTATTCAAATTCTGTGATCTTAAAGTGTCGTCATATCACCAATTCACCATGGCCAGATTCAAGCCTTGAGCTTGTGAAAGTCTCAACTTTATTTTGTGTTGGAACTAACTTGTGTAAGTATTTTTGCAGGGATTCTTTGTCATTCTTTCTTGGATGCCTATTTACTTTAATTCAGTAAGTCACTGCGTTCTCAAAATCCGCATGCTACATTTTAATATTCTAGTAGACTGGAAGTTTAATCAGAATCACTAAAGAAGGTCAACTGTGATGCCAGGTATATCATTCAGATCTTAAACATGCGGCATGGTTTAGTGCTGTGCCATGGTCTGTGATGGCTTTCATGGGTTACTTTGGTGGTCTTTGGTCGGACATGTTAATTCGGAACGGTGTTACTGTTACTTTGACTCGTAAGATCATGCAGGTATCTGAGTACATTAGGTTTCATCTCTTTTGCTTTCCGTTAATTATCTGCATTTACCATGTCAATTGCCCTGTTTTGTGGGTAACATATATGTCAAACTGTCATGTTGATCATGTATCCAGTTCTCCTTGGTACATCCACTTACAAATGTCCTGCTTAAATTAGGAATTTTATTTTCCTAATTCAATTGAGTTAGAACTACTTGAGCTTCAATTTTCATTATTGAGCCTATTGCTGGTCCTTTCATTTTCCACCCGTGCCATTGTCAAACAATGTTGCTTCTGCCAACTTAAAGAAGCAGGTTACCTTTTCCATTCTACATTGACAATTACTTCTTTGCAGTCAATTGGCTTTATAGGACCAGCTGCTGCTCTTGTTGGCTTAACAACTGCAAAAAGCCCATCCATCGCTTCTGCTTGGCTCACTCTAGCTGTTGCACTGAAATCTTTCAGCCACTCTGGCTTTCTTGTGAATCTTCAGGTGAGTCTAGAAATGTATGCAAAAGTAACAAGTGCCTTATTAAATTATTTGAATTTGGACTAACGTGTCTCATTCTTTCCTGCTCCCAGGAAATTGCACCACGCTACTCCGGCGTCTTACATGGTATCTACGGGCTCTATTTCTAGCAGTGGTTCTCTTTTAATTTATGAGTCCTCAATACTACAGTTACATGAGTTAGTCTGCATCACTATGAGTATGTTAGGAGATCTGCTTTGAGTCATATTTCCTAATTTATGTCCTTCCATCCTCTTTTGGGATGGAGTCTAAGTTCCAATGGGCCAACCACTGCTTCTGAACTAATTTTGAAATGTCCACATGTTTTGGAAAGGTAAGGCATTATGGATTAATACTCATGTGCACTTTGTGTAGGAATGTCAAACACTGCGGGAACATTAGCCGCCATTGTCGGAACGATTGGAGCTGGGTTTTTTGTTGATCTCACGGGTTCCTTCAGAGGATTTCTTTTACTTACGTCGGCTTTATATCTCGTCTCTGCAATTTTCTATATCGTCTTCTCGACTGGAGAGAGAGTCCATTTTGATGAGCCTGGTTAGTTGTATTCTCATTGTCATTCTTGTCAATGAGGCATGTCTATTAATCTTATGGACTTCCCTTAAGAAGCTATTCAATTCTCTCTGTTTTTGGCATGGCTGTCCACTGCAACAGAATGATGTCAGTTGGTTCTGTTCGGGACGAGCTGTCAGAAATCATAATCATATTTGGAGCTGGTACGACATTGTTAAGACCATATTAATGACTGTGTGGCTCTTTCAAATATGTTGCATGCAGTCTCTTGTGCAGCTGAGTTTTACTCTATGGCGATATAACGGTTTAATTGTTGAATTTTTCTGTAGAACAGTTCCTGTTCAAGGGCAGTGTTAGGAATGCCGATCATTCACCCTGGCACTTTTGATGATGAAGCGACAGTCCAAATGTTCTGTTGATGTGTTCAACTAAGGTGGCAGATATCTCCGTCCATCGACCATGGCCAGGAAAGGAACCAACCAGCCTCGGACGTCTCCTGATTTCTTCTCTTTTCATTTTGGTTGCCCTTCTGGCTTTCCGTTAGATGTACAGGGGATCACCAATCTGGGTGGTAGCGCGACAGTAGTTGTAGGGGTAAAGAGAACAGGGTGGCCAAGTGAGCCTCTTTTGGTGTTTGACTTGTTTTGTTAATATTTTGTCAGCTCTGATCACAACTTTCTGTCATTCTAGTAGTGGCTGCCTGTAGAAAAAAGGATCTAATTGCTTGTCGTTGAAGCAACAACCACATCCATTACAGAGGTAATCCGAGGCTAATGCAGCAGATGAAAGTCTCTGATCCATTTGTAACGAGACTTCACCACGCTTCATGTTCACGATTGTCGGACCACGTTGTTGCCATTTCCAGGAGCTAGCTAGTCGAAGATGGATAGATAGGGAGAGAGAGAGGGAGAGAGGTCTCTTGGAGGCTCCAGCTATTGAGCATAAACAGCTCAGATGGCGGTTGGTAAGTGTCAAATTCCACAGTTGTGCATTGAGAGGGTCGACAACAGCTGAGCTGGGAGCATAAAACAAGCTGTATAATTGGGGGACTTTTGATGGGTTTGACTCGGTAATGCGTTTACTTGGTTGTTGTTTCCGCTTTGTTTTTCCTTAAAAACTGTTTGTTTTGTAAACGCCGTGTCTTGTCTTGTGCGAGGTACTCCAGTCCAGTCGACCTAGCGCCAAGTTAAGGTCCGAAGACTCCGTCGTTTTGTTTTGCGTAGAACAAGTCCCCGCCTTGAAAACAAGGGGAGTAAAGTAATGACGAAGTGAAAGCAGCATTCAATATACAATCCCCACAAACGCCTACCGTTGCTCCCCACGTCCTAAACCAACACCTTATCACGATGATGGAAATGTAAGCAAGCTGCGGAGCAATCGGTAAGGCATCACGATGAGGAGGGCCAACTCTAAAAAGAAGCAGATCAATCGTTCCCAGCGTGAGAATGGCGATCAGGGCAAGTCTTCTCCTTCTTCATTGCTCAAGTTCGTGAAAGCCGCAGCTGGTAAGGTAGCCGGAGTATTCACAAATTTCCTCGGCCGACGACCGAGTGATCGTTCCACCGCCGCCACCGTCAATCTCGCTAGCAGGAGCACCAGCACCACCACGGGATCTTATTGTAAGTCTCACTTCACAACAATCATCACCTGACTTTTCTCAAACTGAAGCATGTATGTCTCCTCCTCTCTTTCCTTGCAGTCTCAAGCGATCTGTCAAGGGTAAGCAACAGCAGCAAGAGCACCTCCAGATTGAAGTCCTCCAGTTCTTACGGATCCTACAGTACTAGTACTACAAGCGGAGGAGGAGGAGGTGTGTTTGGGACGCAGACTTACTCCCTTCAAGAGATTGTTAAGGCTACCGACAAGTTCTCTGCGGCTAACAAGATTGGAGAAGGTAGCTTTGGCACTGTGTACAAGGGAAGGCTCAGTGATGGGTCTCTCGTTGCCGTCAAGCGAGGCAAAAAGGTACTGGAAATAGAAAGACTTCACTCCTCTTTCCCATCAATCCTTAGTTTCAAAGGCCTGATACCCGAATTGGGAAGCAGAGCGAAGAATTGGTCATCTGATCGAGTCCCATGTGAGTTTGATTGATCTACCCAGTATTTTAAGTGATGAATTTTAGATTCTGCTGTGGCAGAATTCCCAGGACAAGCGTTTGACAACGGAGTTCAGAAACGAGATACTGACTTTATCTAGGATCGAGCATCTGAATCTAGTGAGACTATACGGTTATGTCGAGCACGAAGATGAGCAGATTCTCTTGGTCGAATATGTTAACAATGGAAACCTTCGAGAGCATCTCGACAGTAAGTCCCTCCCCCCTCTGCAGAACATACTTGTAGAAGATACAAAGGAAAGAAATGGGATACTTTTCAATCGCTTAAGTAGCTCAAACGTGCCTGAAGTTATGGACTAATGTTGGTTAGTTTGTTGCAGATAGAAGAGGAACGGTACTCGAAATTGGTGAACGTCTAGACGTTGCCATTGATGTGGCACACGCAATTACCTATCTTCACATGTACACTGGTAATAACCCCCCCTTCACTTCAGTCCTATCGCTTCAATCTGGAAATCTAGTTAGGTAGCTTGCTCATTGTCATATGCCTTGAGCTTCATCTGAGTCTTGAACTCATCATATTATTTCCTAATACACAGATCGCGCAATCATCCACAGAGACATAAAAGCATCAAACATACTCCTCACCGACAAACTTCGAGCCAAAGTTGCAGACTTTGGGTTTGCAAGGTTGGCTGCTGAAGATTCTAAAGACACCCACATCTCAACGCAGATCAAAGGCACGACGGGCTACTTAGACCCTGAATACCTCCGAACATATACGCTCACCGAAAAGAGCGACGTCTTCTCCTTTGGTGTCCTCCTCGTTGAGTTGGTCACAGGACGACAGCCAATCGACCAGAAGAGATCAGTAAAAGAGAAGGTCACGATCAAATGGGTAACCAACCAACCAAGGCAAGACATTGTTGTTGGACACAGAATTGAAATTAAAGCTTCCGTTTTGGGTTGGGGTTTGATGCAGGCAATGCAGAGACTCAGAGGCGGGGATGCGATAATGGTGATGGATCCAATCCTGAGGAGGAACCCGGCATCGAACCGGGCAGCAGAGGAAGTCCTGAAACTGGCCCAGAAGTGTCTGGCTACAATGAGACAGTCACGGCCTTCCATGAAGGAATGCGCAGAGGTGTTGTGGAGAATCCGCAAGGAGTTTAGAGAAGCAGCTGCTCTGCATTCTTCTTCTTCTTCTGCCTCTGCTGCTGCTCCTCCTCCGTTCCAGTCTGCAGATTACCCCAGGAGGTACCCGGACGAGACGCGGAGAACAACGTTTGGGATCGAAGATCATGGTGACAACCCCAGGTTCATCTCCGCTTGAGAATGAAACCAGGAGAAGAGAAAAGGGTGAAAAGAATTTTAGTTAGGCCGAGAAAACGGAGTAAAATCTTGTACATTCTTTATTACGGTTTGTTTGTTTGTTTCCAAATCCTTCTCCTCTGCCACAAAATTAGCCCTCTCTCTGCCATTGTTACCCCTGAAACTTGCCACGATTGATTGAGATGTCTGAGACTGCAAATTCCAAGAGTAGACTCCTTCCTTGTTTATATATATATTCTTTGGCTCTGGAAAATTTTCGTTCAATTATCGTCGGGATAGCTGTTTGAATGAGTTATGGCCATCCACGTTGAGGCTCGGGATCGGGGAAGCCATAGCCATGCCGTGGCGGGCGCCTCGCTCTTCGATGCAGCCACGTGTTCTCTCCTCCCTCAACGTCGTCTTCTTCGCAGTCGCAGAGATCGCAAAGCGAAAAGCGCAGATGGAAACGGGAACGAACCCACCCCACTTGCACAGTCAGTCGCGTGGAGCTCACCTTCTTCTGCAGTACCAGTACCACCGTCCCTCTCTGCTTTTCCGATATTTTTTTGTTTGTTTCTCGGGAAAGAAAATATCGGGGCTCTTCCGTCTCGCATATTCTCCATTCACGGTCTGCCTTCATTCAGTTGGTTTGGTTGAGCTCTTTCTTCTCATCATGTGACAGAGACTTGCCTTATAAATATCTTCCCTCCCTCTTCTCTTCAGTCCAGTAGTGTACCTATCTTAATCTTATCACAGGTAATTTCCCTCCATTCGATTTCCCTTTAATTATAAGTCTCTTTCTTCTCTGGCCTCTCGTGAAAGCGTTTCCTTTCTCTCGCAACTGTAACTTGGTTTCCTCCCTTTCTATCTCTCTCTCTCTCCTCTGTTTTCCTTTGCATTGCGGAAACGCACTTACGAGGTTTTCTGTTTTTTAAAGCGTAGCTGAAGAATTGCAATGGGGGATAGTTTGAAACCCAACGGCGTGTCCTCCAACGTTCCGGCGGCGGCCTTCCCGTCGTCGGACTCGCCATCGGAGATCGCTTCCAATGTGAATTACCATGCACAGTACAGCCCTCATTTCTCTCCTTTCAAGTTTGATTCCGAGCAGGCCTACTTCGCCACCGCCGAGAGCATCAGGGATCGCCTCCTCCAGGTAACAAATTCATACCAAAAGCACATTTAGTATGGTTATCATTACTAATTGAATACTGGAAATGTACCTACCGACTCTCTGATCTGTGCTTCATGGTACAGTGGTGATATCTCCTTCTTCATTCTCTTTCTGTTTTTCAATCAATTTTTGAGTTGAATCGTTCCCCATGAATTATGGTTCCTCATTTTGTCAAGAATTAGATCAGAGCTGATGGTTCTTTGTGGATCAAGCTTGTGTGTTTGCATGATAAAATGGATGTTAATCAAATGATATGCTGTAGCTGAGATGGGTTGGTGTATCCTTTGGCCTCTGCAGCAATGGAACGCAACCTATCTCCATTTTCACAATGCTGACCCAAAGCAAACCTACTACTTGTCTATGGAATACCTTCAAGGACGTGCTTTGTCTAATGCAATTGGGAATCTGGACGTTAAAAATGCATATGCTGAGGCTTTAGACAAGCTGGGACATCAGCTTGAAGAAATAACGGAGCAGGTAATCATTATCATGAGTCAATTAGTATCCGTCAATGCTTTTTTCGAGTTTCTTTCCCGTCTTAAAGTATGAGCAAAAAGGAGAATATACTTTACCTAAACTGTCCTGTGATTTATTAGATAGTCTATTCCTGCTGATGATGAATACGAAATGTAACCTCTGTAGGAGAAAGATGCTGCACTTGGAAACGGTGGTCTTGGGAGGCTTGCATCTTGCTTTCTGGATTCCATGGCGACTTTGAATTTGCCTGCATGGGGATATGGTCTCAGATACAAGTATGGTCTGTTCAAACAGCGAATCACCAAGGAGGGCCAACAGGAAACTGCCGAAGATTGGCTTGAGGTTTGTCACTCGAAGAAACAGTTAAAACTTTGGCACTGGCATCAATTCATTGTTTGACCTGTTATCTTATTGCAATTTGTGCAGAAATTCAGTCCTTGGGAAGTCGTTAGGCATGATGTTGTTTTCCCTGTCAGATTCTTTGGAGAAGTTCAGATTGATGGAGATGGAACGTGAGTGCTAACTCTGAATTTTAGTTTTCAGAATATGTCACTAGTGCATATCAACACTGCGCTTGGATTCATTTGTTTTGTGATTGTGTTTCTTGGTTTTATTTCTCTTCAAATGTCATATATGTTATCTATATTTATGCTCTCTCTTTCTTACAGCCGAAAATGGGTTGGTGGAGAAGTGGTGCAAGCTTTGGCTTATGATGTCCCCATTCCAGGATACAAAACCAAGAACACTATCAGCCTTCGTTTGTGGGAAGCAAGAGCTTCTCCTGCTGACTTCAACCTATTTGAATTTAATGAAGGAAATTATGTATCTGCTGCACAGCGTCATTCACAAGCTGAACAGGTCGGTTTCCAACTGTTGAATTGGGATAGAGATGCAGGATGTGTGACTTCAACAATAACATTAACCGTGAGAATGGTGTGTCATTCCTTTCAGTTCACAGTCAACAGACCTTTTTCCATTCTTTGTTCGCAGATCTGTGCTGTTCTTTATCCTGGAGATGCTACAGAAAGTGGCAAGCTTTTGCGTCTGAAGCAGCAATTCTTCCTCTGCAGTGCCTCTCTTCAGGTAGCAAATTGATTGTTGTCGTACTTTAGTTTATTGCGGTTTTAGCGAAGGTTAATCCAATCTTCTCAGGCTCCTAAGCTAACCACAGTCTTTGCTGGGTCTAGTTTGAGTTCAGATGTATGGTTGATATAAATAATTGTTGAAAGATGTATCGTAGTAATCTTTGGGGACACGTTGAGGGATTCAGTTGGAATCATATATCTGAAATGATGATGAGACACCCTATTTTAATCATTACCTCGACTTGAAGATAATAGGAAACCACTTTGATTTGGCGGGGGAAATGAATTACAGGGGGTCATATGAGAATAAACCTGACTATTATCAGCTTCTCTTCTAGGAAATACCCAAAAATATTCAGGAGTAGGACTCCTCTAGGCTCAGAGCATTCTGAGTCTGCTAGGTTTGGATGCTGTTTTTCTTCTGTATCTGAGGCATGCTCACTGCCGACTCCTATACTCTGCTATCTTGCACCAAATAACTTCTAGTTTCCTGATGATCTTCCATCTGTGGCATATCCTGCTCTGAAAGCTTGTTTATCATGCTTCTTGCACATTAACAGGATATGATACAGAGGTTTAAAGAGAGGAGAAAGCCCAGTAAGACATGGCTATGGTCAGAGTTTCCGAGCAAGGTTGCAGTTCAACTTAATGATACTCATCCTACTCTTGCGATCCCTGAGCTGATGCGCTTGCTAATGGATGATGAAGGACTTGGCTGGGAGGAAGCTTGGGATGTGACATCAGGGTGGACTCTCTTACTAAATATAACTTGTTTTTCTGATGGCAAACTTCCCTAGTGTTGTTGATGTGCATCTTCTTTCTTGCCCTGCATATTCATGGTGGAGGCTACTAAGCTAATTTTGCCCATTATGATCAAACCAGAACCATCTCATACACAAATCACACTGTCCTCCCTGAAGCACTAGAGAAGTGGTCCCAGGCTGTGATGTGGAAACTCCTTCCTCGGCATATGGAGATCATAGAAGAGATAGACAAGAGGGTATATTGCTTAACAAATTTTACCATCCTCCCTTGGATCTCTATATGCTGTTTGTAATTTTGAATGGTATAAATCCTTTGCAGTTCTTGGGAACGGTGCGTGAAAAATTCCCAAAACTTGAGAAGATACTTCCCAGCTTGCGTGTGTTGGATACCAATGCCGAAAAACCAGTCGTCCGGATGGCCAATTTATGTGTTGTAACTGCACATACAGTAAGAGATCTATTTGAACTCGCCTATGTTGTGGTTTTTTAATTCAATCCTTTTTATGAACAGTACTTCTTAGTCCTATCTCAAGAAGCTGCTCATCTTCAAACGCCATTTTCAAATTTCTGACTGGAATCACCCTCATGATCACTGTTATATTATCACGAATCCTAGGAAATGGATGCCAGTATTTCTCACATCTATATTTCTCAAGCTCATTGCGAGAAATCTTAGTGACACTGACTTTATTAGGTAAATGGTGTTGCTGAGCTACATAGCGACATCTTGAAGAAGGAGCTATTCGCGGACTATCTCACAATTTGGCCAAATAAGTTCCAGAACAAAACTAATGGAATTACACCTCGTCGATGGCTTCGCTTCTGCAATCCAGAACTCAGTAGCTTAATTACGAAGCAGTTAAAGTCTGACAAGTGGGTAACTGACCTTGACGAGCTTTCTGGCCTTAGAAAGGTAAGTATTTAAACATGTACGATAGGCTACTGTGGATTTCTATATGTGATACTGGCTGGATTGCTACTAATCAGGTTTGCAAAAAACAGTTTGCAGATGATGCGAGCTTCCAAGGTGAATGGGCAGCTGCTAAGATGGCCTGTAAGAAACGCTTGGCAGAGTATGTAAAAAAAGTCACAGGAGTGACCATCGATCCAAATAGCCTCTTTGATATTCAAGTGAAGCGTATCCACGAGTACAAGAGACAACTGCTGAATATTTTGGGTGCAGTCTATCGCTATAAGAAACTTAAGGTATGAAGAAGGCATGTCTCACTTTGAACTTTGTGCTCATTGTGGGTGGCATTCATCAGGTCGAACTTGCACGTTTGCTAGAATAGTGTAGGCTTTATTAGAGCACGCACCTATAGAAGACAGTAAATTACAGTCCCTGCTGAATGGATGTTAGAGTGACATCTTTCCTTGACTGTGTCATGTGTAGTCTTGATTACTTTATTGATGCCTCGAACTTGGATGACTAGAACTGCAAGTACTGTTTATTTGGTGATGGGTAGGATCGGGGCAAAGGAATTTACGATCTGATGATGCAATTCTAATTTAGCTTAAACCCTTTGCTCGTCTTGGAAAGTTGAAACATGCTATTTCGTGAAACAACGATAATGTTATAAGCTGTAAACAAGAAATGACGTGAAGCTTGGGGAATGGCAGTTTTTCCCTTTCCAAGTTAACCATGAGATAATTAATTGTATGTGCAGGAAATGAGTGAGGAACAGCGAACGACTTCAACTCCACGAACAATCATGATTGGAGGAAAAGCATTTGCAACATACACAAATGCTAAAAGAATAGTGAAGCTTGTATATGATGTTGGGGAAG